TTTCTACAGTCGTTGCAACTTATCTTGTAGATTAATTTTTTTTTAATTTCTTCCTCCACATTCCCAGTGGAACATAGGGCCTCAAGCTAGTGGCTTGAAGTTTCTGTAGCAGTGTTTAAGTTTTACAGGATGGGGTTGCTAGCCTCATGCCCAATCTTTCCTCTTTACCAGAATTTTTTCTGGCTTAGCGAGGTAAAGGAGTGCGTCTGCCGGGAATCGAACCCGGGACCATATGCATGGTCGGCGAGCGTCTTAACCGCTATGCCACCGACCACCGATTATGTTGGTTTTAAAATTCAACTTGGACAACGCTTTAGATAACATGTAAGTGTCTGAAAGTATATCCAACAAAAATATTTAGCATCCATTTGCTAGTAGCGACTAACCTTGATTCCTTTCTTAAAACATGGTTGCATACATTTGTTCTTAATTCAATTTTGATTTCTTCTTTGATCGATTGGACTAAAATGTTCAGCTGACACGTTGCACTAGAGGTGGCTCTCGTCACTTGATTGATCTAGTGAACAACTCTTTGGCATTTGGAACGATAGGTACTAGGTTCGAGTCTCAGTGGGAACATTATCAGTCACTCGGAATGCAAGTACATTCAGCTAATAAGTCCAAAATAAGACGAAGTGCACACCCTGAATTCTACTGCTAGTCACCATCCCCGGGATTATTTCGTTTAGGTCAAATAGGGTTTTATCTTTGATGAGATATCATGCATGTACCCTACTGAAAGTTAAAAAACAGGGAATAACTGATGCCGGGTGGACCCTAGTTCCTGATCATGTGCCTAGTAATGACGACTGCTGATCACACCAGCATTATTATTACCATGCTTGATACAGTTGTAAAATTACGTTTTAGAAATTTTAGTCAGTGAAACACTTCACTACACAACGTTTTTTTTCTTTTCTCCCTCTTTTTTCTGTTATGCGCTGCTTTGTTTCTTTCTTTCTACTTACGCCAGTAAATATGCCACCATCTACTTTTCTAACACCTTCAAACATTCTGTTCACTTTTAGCTTTGCTACCGATATGCTAATATGTTGTTGTCAAAACTAACTGAGATTACCCTTAATCTATGTAGAAATTTATTTATTGTTAATGTACAAACTGGATGCAATACTGTAGTAAAATGCTGAGAATTCCATTCTGTATCACAAGTACTGTTTTGGAATAAAGCTATTATCTTATCTTAACAAATTAACTTGAACTATTTTAAAATATCATATCTAGGAGACTAGTCTATATGTTTTTTATGTGGGTGGTAATGTAATAATAGTACTGATTTGTAGATTCTACATTAATACCGATCATGGATTGCTTCTGACTCCCAGAGCCCAAGCATATGAAGATAGAAGATAGAATGAGTCATACTAGTGAGAAGAATTAGATTTTATCATACACAATTACATTATATGCAAATATTGCGTACCTTGTGAGTCGGTGGTTCAGCGGTCGAGCTCTAGCTGACCATGAACATGGCCCGCGGTTCGAGTTCCGACCGGTTCACACCTTTATCTCCCTTAGCCGGCTACAATCCCGACAAAGAGGGAAGGTTGGTCGTGAAGCTAGCAACTCCAACCCATAAAAACACCACTGCTTCTGAAAATTCAAAGCTAAAACTTGAAGCCCTATGCTCCACTGGGAACGCAAAGGATTGAAAAAAACTGAGTACCTTAGAAAGTTAAGCCACAGAATAACCACTTACAGGGATTGCATAAGACTGGATTTCTAGGTTATTCAAACGCATTGTTATAAATATCTTACTTCAACCCAACGGCCTAATTTGTTCATATTGTTTAAGCCTGTTTCCACCTAGTTTTTGGCTGCTTTCTATCAATGTTCAAAGCGGGTGATCAAAGAGGAGAAGGTTTACATCATGAAGGCATCTTAAACCATCATGACGACATATCACAGCTAATATACGAAGGTCATTTACAGCAGATAATTAAATCACTAACCCATGAAGTTTTCCACACTAGAAATTCAATGAAATCTGAACTATTACTTAGCCTTCTGGATAGTAAGTTTGTATAATGAACTATTGTTTAACTTCAGTGCACATGAAACCGTCCAAAACTTTTACCAATTGTGATAATATGATGGCCTGAAGACCAGTTGCGTCTAAAAATGGAGTTTTTATTAATGGAAAAGTAGTATGATGGAGCTTATTGGTTTAAAACTATCTGTATCATAATTTTGCCTTCAATTTTATCCTTTTCTAACTCAGAATAGAGAAAAACATTTCATTTTGTAAGAAAGAAAGTTTTCAGAATTGGCAGTTGAAAGTTAAACTTGTATGCATTAACCATCATACAAAGAGAAGATAAGGGGATAGGAAAAACAATATACATTTATTTAGAAAATTTAAAGTCTTATTATTGATCTGTTTAACTGTATCACATCTAAATTTTCACAGGTTTTTACATGAATACAGGAAAAGTCAGGTTGACATAGTGATATTAAAATGTACTATGCAGTTCTTTTACTGTGAAATACTTGAACTTTACATTTAAGTATTGAGCATAGGAAAAGGTTTTGATGACTTACTGTTTGATGAGAAGAAAGACAATCGATTAGTATTGTTTTGGCGGTCGGTTTGAATTACTGCGCTAGTGCCTAACACAATGTATCATATTTTCTCTAATTCTTATTGTCTTAATCATTCAGTTATGGGTTCTAGTAGCAAAATGTACACACGCACATTTTCAGTTGACTTCCAAACTGTCGGTGCACATTTCGCGGAGACGAAAGGACAATATGAAAATCAGAAGAATTGTGGCACATTATGCACTATAGACTGCTTATAGTGGAAAGATTGTTTGGAGAATATCCCCTGAGAGATTTGTTTACAACATTGATAGTTATCTGGATATTTAAACTAATCCTGTAATTATCATCCATTTTTCTCCTAGACTGTATGTCATTATTTTGATATTTGCATATCCCATTTTGATCTAATCCTTTTTATTCGTCTTTATTCCTCTTTAATTTCTAATGTTAATGCCTACATTTCTGGTTGTGTGGTGTGTGATAATGATCTGTACGATGTGACTTTGTTTGAGTGAATCAAGGTCATTCTGAATTTGGACTGTCTGCAGGAAACATTGGTGTGTGATTTTTATGGACAGAGTTTTTTATCTTGCCTTGTTGGGAGTATGTTACTTGATTCTAAGTATTCGTTTTGTACTCAGACTGAACTGCATAGCTGCTTAATAGCACTGCTGAGTATTACTCACAGATTCCAAACACAAACAACAGTCTTTTCAATTAATGAAAAATCCCCATTCGATCATTAATAGAGAGAAGACCAGTAATTCAGGGAAGAGTCTCTTTTCGGCGATCTCATTTTCACAGCTGTACAATCTCAAATTAATATGGTCATTTTGTATGTGTTTGAAAATCAAATAGTGGGTGGTGTCAAAAAGGGTCAAAGAACACTATCCGGCGTGGATGCAGAAAGGAGGTAGTGGCGGTATAAGGAGTGCAATAATCAAACATCTCGTCAGCACTGGTCATTCCATTTCAACAAACGCTTCCTTCAAAGTAATCTACAAAATGAATAACACCCTTTCAAAGACAATACGTCTCCGTCTTCTTTGCATTGCAGAAGCCCTAGTCATTCAGTTAGAAGAACCAGAACTATACATACAAAAGAAAATTACTCAGCCACTTCTACTATCATGAAAACAACTCTGTCAATTTGACTTAACTTTTGCTTGTATGCTTATTTTCTTTCACTACTCAGAACACTTACGTAATTCCGTATGTTATTTTGTTTTCATGTACACTCTGAGCACAACGCTTTCATTGAAATATTCATGTTATTACGTATCTCTTCTCTGACAGTCGTTTGTGAAAACTTATCACTTTTGTCCCTACCTTCTTATATCAACATCAAATTCATCTGAACGCTTTTTGTATTACGTAACTCCACCAAAAACTTATTAAAGAGAAAGATTGAGCGAAGAAATATTTACTTTTCAATTAGATCCTCATCTCTGGCTCTACTCTAATATATATCCATAGCATTTTTATTACAATATACAACAATTTACCAATCAAGTGGCGATATGTTTGTTAACAATAATTAGTCAGTGTCAAAATGTCAATGGGGTGGTAATTAACGAAGAAAAATTAATATGTGTAATTAAAAGGTGGAAATGGTTACAACACGTGGATTGCATAATGCGTAATTTAGGAAAAATGAAGAGCAATTAAGGAATAAGCGTGTGCACAGGTTGATTACGTAACAGATTGTTAAAGAAAATAAAACAATTTGTAACTAAAGTTGAAGTGGTCATAAGAATAAAATAATTTTTACAAGGATAACACGTAATTAAAGATGAGGTAGTCAGAAAAATAAAATAATTTGGACAATTATAGTTTCTATATGTTAAAGGTGCTCAATGAGTATCCGAAGTACAGCGCAAGGCTCAGTGAAGCGAGAATTTCTTTGGACTTAATTCTCGAATGCATTGAGAGAAACCAGTATCCAAAGTCCTATTGGAAGTCTTTACGACGATGCAGAGTTCGCCCGAATAGTAAGACACTCAAGCGTCACGCATTGAATCAGATCGACTCACTCAAATCATGTATCACGGAATTATCAAAGAATGTAACAGAAAGGTTTTATGCTGTAGACGAGCTCCCAGAGCACTTGAAGAAACAGTTCCTGGATTATGTGAATGAGGTTTCTTGCAAAAGAAGGGAAAAGAAAGGTACCAAATTATTACAAAGCCTGGAATGCAAAACTCCAAAACTCCGCCAAACCCTGGTCGGTATGTTTATAATTTTTCTGATGTTGTTCTTGATGACACTGATTTGCAAGTATTATCTCTAGGCACTAAGTTTTGTGATAATTACGTTAGAATTAATAAGATGGATATGCAAGTCCAGTTTGAAAACTTTTATGCACAAACTGAAGGATTGACACCCTCATCATCTGAGGTAGTTGAAAGTCTTAAATCAACTCTCGTCGACTGTTGTTATAAATATATAAATAGTAAACGGAGACAGAATAGCTTATTGACCAACAAACACAGGGAAGCCCTAGATAAGCTGCGAAATGATGAGAATATAATAATTTCGAAACCTGATAAAGACTCTGGAGTAGTAATAATGAATAAGGCTGAATACATAGATAAGATGAATGGAATACTCAGTGATCATCGAAAATTTCAAAAAATCACATCTTCCGTCGATCCAACAGAAAAAGTGGAGAAACAGCTAATCGAGTCACTAAAAAGACTTAAACAACAAAGCAGCATCATAGAAGGTCTATATGAATCTCTAAAGCCTACTGGCACGATTACACCAAGATTATATGGACTTCCAAAAGTGCACAAAATTGGTGTGCCACTTCGACCAGTGTTAGACATGTGTAATTCCCCATATCATGCCACAGCAAAATGGTTAGTCAAGCTCCTGAAACCTCTGCATAATGAGTTGGTAAAACATAGCGTAAATGGCAGTTTTGAATTTGTTGGAAAAATAAGAGATCTTAATGTGAGGGACAAGTTTATGATATCTTTTGATGTATCCTCCTTGTTCACCAATGTACCGTTAATGGAGACAGTGGATTTTATATGTGAGGAGATTACTACACGAAACATAGACATCGGCATTTCTGTATCCACCTTGAAGGAACTTATTTTAAGATGTACAATGAACGTTCATTTCTTATTCAATAAGGAATATTACAGACAAATTGATGGTGTAGCTATGGGTTCCCCATTAGGCCCAATCCTAGCTGATTTTTTCCTCGCTAAGTTAGAGAATGGACCACTGAAAGGAGTAATTAGTGACTTGGATTTCTACTGTCGATATATGGATGATACATTTCTGGTCATAAAAAACGAGGACGATGCAATGAACATCCTTGACAAGTTTAATGATGCCCATTCAGCAATAAACTTTACCATAGAGAAAGAAAGTAATGACAGTATCTCATTCCTAGACGTCTTCATGGCAAGGAAAGAAGATGGCACACTAAGAAGGAGTGTGTACAGGAAACCTACTACAACAGGTCAGTACACTCATTTTTTGAGTTTTGTACCTTTGAAATATAAACGTAACCTGGTAAAGTGTCTGGTTCATAGAGCTAGGTTAATCTGTTCAGACGACTGCTTCAATGAGGAGCTTAAGATTATTAGAGAATTACTTAGAAAAAATGGTTATCCAGATAAGTTTATTGAGAAAAATATGAATTCATCACCTAGGACAGTCACTATGGCAACAGTTCCGAAAAAACCACTGTTCATAAAACTTCAGTTCCTCGGTGACAACATCAGCGAAATAATAACACAACGACTGAAGAATGCAGTTAAAAGAGCTTATTATGCAGCAGAGGTACGCTGTCTCTTCACAACCACACCTATCCTACGTTCGAGTAATAAGGATAAACTACCTAAATTCGCCTCTTCTATGTGTATCTACCAGTTTGACTGCAGCTGCGGAGCCAGCTACATCGGGCGAACAATTAGGCAGGTTCATCATCGTATTTCCGAACATCATCCGGCATGGTTAAGCAAGGGACAAACAAGATCTATTCGTAGCTCTATTTTAGCCCACCTTGTAGATAGTGAGCATAAGGTTGACGTTAATACTGCATTTAAAATTATTTATCGCATTCCTACTAATCTTAATTTTGCTTTACGAGTTCGTCTTCTACATACAGCTGAAGCAATAGGAATCCACCTGAAGAAGCCAAACTTGTGTGTTCAGAAGAAATTTGTACAGCCACTTTCCTTACCTTGGCCATCGTTACATGACTGTATAAACCGGACTACTTCATCCCCCTCCCCCTAAAATATTTTTTCTTTTTAAAAAACTATAAAAACTGTAATTGTCCAAATTATTTTATTTTTCTGACTACTTCATCTTTAATTACGTGTTATCCTTGTAAAAATTATTTTATTCTTATGACCACTTCAACTTTAGTTACAAATTGTTTTATTTTCTTTAACAATCTGTTACGTAATCAACCTGTGCACACGCTTATTCCTTAATTGCTCTTCATTTTTCCTAAATTATGCATTATGCAATCCACGTGTTGTAACCATTTCCACCTTTTAATTACACATATTAATTTTTCTTCGTTAATTACCACCCCATTGACATTTTGACACTGACTAATTATTGTTAACAAACATATCGCCACTTGATTGGTAAATTGTTGTATATTGTAATAAAAATGCTATATATATATTAGAGTAGAGCCAGAGATGAGGATCTAATTGAAAAGTAAATATTTCTTCGCTCAATCTTTCTCTTTTCTAAATGTCTAAATGGGGATATTTTTTATATTGAAAAACTTATTAATTGTACTTTCGTTTGACAAATTTAATGTACACACACAAAATGACCATATTTGGGATTGTACAGCTGTGAAAATGAATTCGCCTAAAAGAAATTATTCTCTGAAATACTGGTCTTCTCTCTTTTAATCGTGTTTTTACTGTCTTTGAAGCGTTTTGTGACTGTGCGTTTCTCAAGGCAATAATCGACAGTTATAAATTGGGACGCAAAGATCGATTCTCTGTGTTTAGACCACATTTTGTTTAGAATAAAGCTATTCATTTACTTATTTTTATTATTTATTTGTTTGTCGTCATCATCAAACCCTTAAGTTTCGAATGGGGCCTCGGTTCTCTGAAATCCCTCCAAATTAGCTCCACAACCGTTTGCAAACTTTAATTTCCTCTTCACATGATCTTTTCCATTCCGTTCTTGGCTGACAAACTTATCACTTCCGGGTCTCCTCTCAATGTAGGGTCTTACAATATGATATAGCTTGAACATCTCTTCAATGTGTATCTAATCAACGTTCACTTCCTTCTACATATTTGCTGGAAAGTAGATTGTTGGCCTGGTCAGTGCTTGAGTTCCTTGTTGTTTATTCTTCCCGGTCGACTAACTGACCTTCTGAATGGAGCCAAAGAAGGCATGTGTTGATGAAAGTTTGCACTAGCTGATTGGAAATGTTTTTCTTATCTGAAGAATATAGAAACATTGACTTGACATTGGTATCAAAAATTTGGATCTTTTTTCTTTTGATAAGTGATAATTCTGAAATTGATACCTGAATTCTCTACCTTACCGGTGGATCATGTTTGAAGTATGAAACGAATACACTACTCTCAGAATTATTGAAATCGTTTTCATTATGATAGTTCAATCACATTGACGAAAGAAAACTGGCTTCTAGATGACTGTTTCACAATAAATGCTTATAATGATGGTTCATTAGCTTGGTTAACACAAAGCTTAAGGTTTTAAATTGATAAAATCAGTCCTTGAATCTTACTTGGTGAAATCTATTCACTGTGATTTATTATTTCTTTGCTTTGCCTTCCATTATGGACATAGGACTTCACATTTGAACTACGAAGTTTCAGAAGTGGTGGTTTTGCTATTTTCTTACTGGTAGGCTTTGCTAATTTCAAGTCCAACTTCCCCCTTCACAAGACTTGCTATCAGCTAAAAGAGTTTTAGTGCTGCGTCGGCTGAGAATCGAACCCGGACCACATGAGGCGTGGTTAGCACATATTCTACAATTGAACCAGCTGCGCATTTCTTCACTATGGTGTTCACCAGGCCAATTGAACAATTTCAGACTTGCATGTTTTTAATAGCTGGATTTCTCCTGTATTCATAATAAGAAATAAGCTCGAATTTCGCCACAACATTATTCAATAAAATTATACAAAGAAATCGCTTTATGGATGTAAGTTAATGCAAAACAAACCTACAGGGTTTTAGTCTAAATTTACTTGATTGACTTGAACTTTCGCATTTACTTGACCTTATGTGATTTTGTATTGCGTGCTAAGCTTAGGTGAAGACTGTAATCATATCAGAAGTTATGTCTGGCTACTCTAAAGGGTTTATATAAACTTTTTACACACCCTAGAATATCTAGCGTAGCGTTTTGCGATCCAATAAATGCGCAAAAATACCTTGGAGTAGCTTTTATGCTTACCCGTCCGAAATACATATCACCTTATACTTTCCAAGATAAAAAAATTACCTCATGTAGAATTATATTCTACAGCAGTGGAAAATTTCTGCTATATCATTGGTGAAGCTGAACAGGATAGAATAGTGAAGAAATTGTTTCCATTTCAACCTAGTCGCTTACTAAAGCTCTACATTCGTATTGACAGTTAGCTATTTTTAACAAATAACAGTGTATTAGTCAACTTTAAATCCAAGTGTCATCATTAACATCTATTTTAGAAAAGGAAATGAATTCAGTTAAAACATAAATTGTATAATAACATAAACAGCGATAGGCCTACATAATAATTACGTCGGATTCAATAAGGTGTGAACTTATACGGGAGCTGGGGAGTAACTATTATCATATGTTTGGTCTTTAGTATTGTTGACAGAGTTCTACCCATCAAATTTGCAGTGTGACCACTGACTTAGAAAACTTAACATCACAGCGTACTCCGGATTTCCATGAGATGGTTGAAGGCAGATAACAGGTAGCCGTAGATCTGTGGGGAGCTTAACAGCGAGCTAGGCAACGGAACAAATGTTAGAAAAACAATCCAAGTTTTAATGAGATGATAGGGTAACAGTATATTATAAAAAATACAGTTGACGAGTTATATAAATTAATGGTTACCTGATGATACAGTTAAAGTCCGCTGGTACAAATTATAAAATAATGCACAGAAGTGTTTACTGCTGGAGTCGTGTCTGCTAGTAGAAACTGTGCACCGGTTGTGGAATAGTCTTTGGATGACAGGCTCCTTCAAAATCCAAAGGATACAACACAGTTACTAATGAAGCAAGCAGACAGTATGAACCAGTGAGAAGATGAAGTGTTGAGCAGGAAACTATATATTTTTTTATTGTACTCCGAAGTTATGTATATTTTACAATGAATTGTTTTAAACGAAAGTTGTGTACAACGTCTCCATTTCGACATTTAACAAAAACTGTACAATCATATTGTTTCAGACCCCAAAGATCGACCACCTCTAGCAGCCATTCAATATTCTGAATTGTTTCTGAATGTGATTTATGAAATTCAAGTCCCTACAGCTTGAGTGCACAATGATGCAAAGGGGAAGAAATAAGAGACAAAGTTAAGGAATTGCAATCCAAGGGAACGAAAGTATTATTCACTATGAAATGCACGATCAAAGCAAGGTATTGAAATTACGTAAATAACCTCATATTCGTAAAACAAAAATACTGAAAGAAGTTTAATAGTATTAAACACAATTGATATGCTTATCAGCAATAATTTAAGCTCGAAACGTCATCCAGTTATTAATATTGCATCAGTGTGGGATATATGAGATGAATTTACCTAAAATGGAATTACCTATCCTTATATTTTCCCTTCTTAATTATTAATAATTAATTGTCGAGAATTAGTTTGCAGTAAATCTATTTATTTTAGGTTGGAGAGTATTGGACAACTGTTTCGCCCAACCAATGTCATCAGCGGGAACTCCATTCTCACTCCTCACAGGATGGACCACACTAGTCACGTCTTCTAACTAGAACTCCAGGCAACTTCGGCCTGTAGCCAGGCACTAGCGACGATGACATTGATTAGTCGTTGCGCTAAAACCACGAATTGGTGGAAGTTAGAATTCATCGGCTGACCATTAAAATGGGTCTCAGTGGTTTAATGGTCTACTAGCTAGCTTGCCTTGTAGCCAGAAGGTAGTGGGTTCGAACCCAGTCGGGGTGGGTGTGTACTGATGAAGCGGAGTTCCAAACTAGGCTGACGAAACAGCTAGCTATCCAGTTGGCTTTCAATGGCTCCCTAACTGCAATCAGTCAGTGGTCTAACCTTAAATTATTGATTAACCACATTTCTCTTATCTGGTCAGAATTTTCTGAGTTAATGCAGCTGGTTTCGTGAAGGTCAGTGGTTCCTTCTTTCCCTTATGATCACTGTTCTTAAACTTTACCAAATAAGGGATATGCAATAAGTTTTCGTGAATACCATATTACTTTCCTTATAATTTCTGTCAGGCGCTAAAACTGTATTATTAACTTATTACTAAATAATAAGGGCATCTGAAATCATATAGATTTCATATTTCCCAGGGAGTGAGAAACAAAATGGTATATTTATAATTCCCTTCATTGACGAGTACTACAACTCAGAATCTAAGTTTGGTTTTTTATGTTCAGATGCGGCTAAACAAGACAAGATATTTGTGACCCCTCTTCAAGTTCCTTTCCTCCTCACTTCAAAACTCCAGGGTTTATTTCTTTGAGTTACATGGTTACAGCACGCGAGAAATAGATATATAACCAGACTTAGAACATCCAGCTTCTTTTTGAAATGCATGCCTAAATTTTCAATTGATCTGAATGGCTTAGCAACTTATCGAAAGAAAAATAAATGAGTAGTTGACAGTTGAGCTATAATCCCTTCTTAATGGTCGAAAAATATGGAAAAATTAATAACAAATTATCATCATGAAGAGTATAAACCTGGTTGTAAAGTTATGCTACAAATATCTGTCAATGTAGATTTTGTCACGAACAGAAATTAGTCGATGAGTCCCAAACGCAAGTCAAAGCAACAGTCCAGTACTTCTTGTTTTCAATGCTACTCTAAACAATCTTGGTTTATGGTAAGACCAACAGTAAAAGCAGTCGGAATCCTCTCAAAATCAAAAGTCTGAACACATAACTTTGTTGGGAAACTGAATTTTACAGACTATACATAATCCATGCGAACATGATTGTTTGGTTAACAAGCTTATTAATTGTAACAATAATAGCTTCATTATGCACAATAAGTTTACACAATATACATAATTTTTA